TTCTGCCTGCCAGGATGCTTGTCTACGATGCTAAGTAGCATATTATTTTCGATAAGTTGCAATCATTTACTTGAAATCTCCTTCTTCTTTAAAATGTCCCCCTGGAAAGGCAATTCATCAAGTTGGGAATGGGCAGAAACAACCATGAGAAAACCCATCCAGACACAGCCCAGCTTGGGCAGCAGGGCAAGCACTCCTCGAGTACTCATTAAAACCACACAGCAAGTTTTGTTTTAGGGTGGATTTGTTTAGGCGTCCAGGTAGTGGGACCAGTCCTTGGCTGGTGGTGTCAGCAAACAGAGCTGTAGAGGAACTGCCCGCTGATGTAGATGGAGGGGATCTTGGCTGGGCAGTCTCAGCAAATTTCACAGGACCACGCTTTTGACTGCTGAAGTCAGTGGAGAGTTGAGGAAGCAAAGGCCACACCAGTTCTGGGGATCTCTTCTTTCATCATCGCAAACCTGGGTTGGCTTCTTGTCTTTCAATGTGTCATCGTCTTCCAAGATGTCCCCACTGCATCCCTGAAGAGGCTTTTCCCACTGCTCCACCTTGCCTTTGCCTCCTCCAGTGTCTTCTGCTTGGTCTTCGGCTTCCATCTCAGAAGTCCTGGCTGATGCGTAACTGGGAATGGACTCTTGCACGTGCATGACAGGAGACATGAGGATGAAAAATGGTGGGGAATATTGTACCACCACAGCCTACATACCCTTGTGAGTGGATATATCCTATGCTGGGAGTCTGTCTGGGACAAGCCCCTGCTTTCTGCATCAGCTTGAGGAAGCTGACCACAGTAGGAAAAACTGCCCTTTCTAGAAGGAAAGTAGAGCTTGGAGGTTTGAGCATCCTTTTCTCTTGTCACTGCTGAGCCCCAGTCATCTGATAAACAGCTGCCCTCACCCTCATTATGTTAGACTACCTTCAGGATGTTATTCTGCCTGTATTGACTGTGCACCTCTCATCTGGAGAGTTTGGAAAGGGGTAGAGAGCAAATTGTTGCTAAGCTGAAGAATTTTTGGGGTGGCCTTGGAGGAGAAGTGGCTGGGTGCTCAGCTGTTGCACTGAGCTGGCTTCTTAGGTCCCTTTGGAAAAATGCTGTCAGGAAAATGGAGTAAATAAGGGAGGGGATGGTGGTGTAGAGGACCAGGAGGAGTCTGGTATCCACCTTTGTGGATTTCTTGGGTGTCTTCACAGCTCCAGGACATCTGCAGGGTACAGTCTCTTTCAAAGGCCTTGCCAGCACCGTGTCTGGCAAAGGCTGCTTCTCCTGCCCTGTGCCCCCCACCCTGGCTGTATGTCAGGCTGTGTGGACACCCTGCCATGTGGGGACACCGGGCACAGGTACTTTAGTGTGAGGACACAGACACATGTGGGGTGCCAGTTGCCCATCTTATTTGAATGTGAATCTGGCTGCTCTGCAGGTGCTCCTCAGAGATGCCCAGGTTGGTGGGAAACATCTTGGAGCAGCTGAAACCTTTGGCAACTCGATGCAGTTTCCATTCCTCGTCCCTGAATCGCAGGAGAGGCAAGGAGCCAAGGAGCTATTTTTGGCTTGTCTCCTTTCCTGATTCTCCGAGGCCAGTCCTGCCACCTCTCCCTGTGTTGTGCACCACAGCCACACCACTGAGCCAGCCCAGGACTGGGACCTGGACAGTGTTCTCTGCACACAATGGCTGTGATACCTTCCTCAAGAGGGAGAAGGAGCGAGTGGGTGAGCTGAGAGCCGTTTCTGAGCTGCTGGAACAGGTCCCTGTGACCCTAATGGCACCCATGAGCAGACCGCAGGCTGGTGGCTTCACGGTCCCCAGCTGCTCCTGCTGCTGGCGTTGGTGACAGTGACCCTGCAATGGCTGTGCTTCTCAGTTCCCCTCTGCGGTCAGCCAGGCAGTGTCTCGCAGCGGTGCAAGCGGGGACAAGGTGCGTGGCTTGTCTTTGCATTTTAAATAAACCCGTATATATGTATTTTCATCTGTGCCTATATATATATATATATATATAAAAATGCATTTTGAGGCAGTGGGGGACCTTTGTGGGGTCCGAGCCCCCTCTAGCGGCATTTGCCATGGCTCTGGGGGCTGCCGAGCCAGCAGGAAAGCGGCCAAGGACAGAAAGTCTTGCATGAATTTTCCTCCCCCCAGCTGCCAGTCGCTATCTTTCTTTTTGTTCTTTCTTTATTTCCCTCTCTCTTTAATCGGGAGCAGTAAATGGCAGGTCCTGGGGATTCCGAGGCACAGGCAGGAGGATGCCCGCAGCCTCTTGACTCCGGTTTGCTGCCAGACTGCTGAGGATCGTTCTGCTTCATTTATTTTATTTTTATTTGGTGTGAAAACATCAGTCTGGGGAGACTGGGGGCCACTCACAATTGGCTGCGCAGGCACTGCAGGTTGAGTGCTGCCTGTACTGGTTCATCCCAGGCTCCCCAGCTAGGGGAGCAGGGGCCACATCCCATCTCAGTGGGCATTTTAGAGGGTTGGTGCTTCCAAGGAGCCCAGTGTCCCAGGCATCCTGGCAAGAGTTGTGTGTTGGAGCCAGGGACAGCACCGGGAAGATAAAAAAGCAGCTTTTAAATAATCATTTTGTCTTTCCCTCATCTGAGCACAGCCTTCCAGGGATAAATAGGCAGCATCAGTTCTGCTAAGACACATTGGCCTTTCAATCTGTTTACTCCCTAGCCTTATTCCTAACGAGCAGACGAGCCCAGGCCATCTCCACACGGTTCAAGGCTGGGTTTGGGTGTCTGCTGTGGGAACATACGTCCGTTGGATGCTCAGGATGCACGCACTGGTCTGTGCGTGTGGCACGGTAATAAAGCTCAGGGGTTATACAGCGCTTTTCATCAGGAAGCAGCTCTCTAAACATAAACTAATTAATCACTGGTGCCTACCTGTCAGGTCAATGATTCCTGAGATTTTTAATCTAAAAATATTTCCCCTTTGAAATCCAGATGCGCCTGTTTCGGCAGCTCCACTTTTGATTTGTTTATTTGAGGGGTTTTAATTTATTTTTTTTTAACTTGTGTTGCTTTCCGTTTGTGTTTGGGCTTTTGATGTGCTTTAATTTAGTGCGTGGTTCTTTTGGGTTTTTTGGGGGGTTGGGTTTTTTTTTCCTGGAAAAAAAGGAATTTATTATCTTTTATTTTCATAGCAATTTTCCCTCCCCCTTGTAGCCTGTCACCTTTCCTCTTTGTAAAGATTTTGGCCACTTTTACCTCTTGTTTCAGTTTATGGGCCACAGACCTCAAACCATTTTCTCGATGAAGTCTGACCTCAGATTTATTCATCGGTGAAGCATGTGGCCAGGTGCCGGTGGTGCCATGGGAAGCCTCCTACAGTGAGGGGAGATGCTGATACTGTCTCTTTGGGGCTTAGCAGCTGCACCCGGCTCCAAATTTGGCACTCTACCCCCATCCCTCCATAAAGAAACAATCCTCTCTAGCATGGAATTACTTATCATTAGCTCATCTTATTGGCAAATGTACCGTTGTTGGGCTTTTATCTGTCTTTTCATTCCCCCTGAACTTTGCTCCTTTGTTGACAATGAATGTTTAAATCACAGAAAACACCAATAAATCCTGGAGTCCTAAAAATCAGGATTTCAGCAGAGTTTGAGGCTTTAAAAAAAGTCTTTATAGTGTTAGCTAAACCGCTCAACAGGGTCTTTTGCTTCCATTTTATACCGATAATAGCTATGTCTTTAACTTACTTCAGAGTGAGGGAGGCTATACTTGGTGTTTTGCCCACATTTTTTAGCTGCTCCAGTTTACTTCCTATTGTGAACTAATTTTAGACTAGCTCTTGTTTGTGCTGCGGATTTGGGGGGTCAGATTCATCTTGGGTGTAAGTGGGCATGGCTCTAGTAAAATCCCCACATTACCCAGCTCTGGATGTGTTTGGGGGGTGTGTGTATGTTTGCAAAATGCTCTGAGCTCCTGTGCCAGACGAAACGGGGAAATGCAGTTAATTTCTCTTAAGAAATTCCTGTTTGTTCACTTATTAAGGATTTATTTTCTTTACTTCGCAGCTGTGCACACCTGTGCATGCAGAGGTGTCACACAGGGACACTTAGGCCACCTCCATCCTTCCAACCTGGGACATTCCTAGCAGGCAGGATGTTCCCATATGTTTTTCCAGGAAAGCCTTCACAGGAGAAGGACTTTTACTTGAAGCAGTAATTGATGGGGAGAGTACAAAGAGGGGAGGAAATTTCTCTCCTTGGAAAGTTACTTCAGGAGGATTAATTTATTGTTGCCCCTCTAATTACCATGGTTTAGACTTCACTGGAATGACTGGAACAACAAAATTTATTTCATACATTTCTTACTTGCCTTTCCACTGTATTGGCTAAAAGCATGGCCTTGCAAGCACTCTCCACCTGCATTTAAAGATAGAAAAACTGAGGCATGTTTAGCTCTGGTATCTGTGTGTCTACCATCTGGGTTTGATGGCTGATGCAAATGGTACAATATCAAGCTGTAAACTGCTTGTTAGGTGACATGAGTGTGGGCTATCTGGGTGATCTGAAGCCTGGGCTAGAGATTCCCAATTTCCTAGGCTATGCTTGGGTTGGGATAGAGTCCCTATCATTTGTAGCAGCAAGAATGAGTACATTCATTGGTTTTTTTTGACCAGTGATAGCAGTTTTGCAGTGTGTTTGAACACAAACCATGGCTTTCTGAGTTACCTCTGTGGTGAGCTCTCTGCCAGTTCTGCCCTGCTTCTTCTCTGCAGGAAGGAGGGGAAGAAGCAGGGAGGAGAGCAGGAAGCTGCAGTACCCCTGTCGCTGCTGCTTGGCTGGAGAGCCGAGGAACCGTGCCTGGTGATGAGCACTTGGGAGAACCAGGATGCAAATTGCCTGTTGGGGTACCCTTTCTAAAGGAAGAAAAGCTTGGTTGATGGGGACTGAGCAACCTGGGATGAGCATCCCCTTTTAGATGAACATCCCTTTCCCCAAGTTAAGACCTGGGCACAACTCAGGCTTTCCTCTCTGCTTTGTGTCTCATGCAGTGCTGAGCATCCGAGGAGCGCAGGAAGAGGAGCCCACGGATCCCCAGCTGATGCGGTTAGACAACATGCTCCTGGCCGAGGGGGTAGCAGGCCCCGAAAAAGGAGGTGGCTCAGCCGCTGCTGCAGCTGCTGCTGCAGCATCAGGAGGAGCTGGCTCTGACAACTCAGTGGAGCACTCTGACTACAGAGCCAAACTATCCCAGATCCGGCAGATCTACCACACGGAGCTGGAGAAGTACGAGCAGGTAACAGGCTCTTTCGTGGAAGAAGGCAGGGCTCCCCAGTGGTGGTTGTGGTGGGGTGGTGGGAGTAGGAGATGAGCGGCTGGGAGAGCAGCTGGAGTGGATGTGCACAGCCTGGATCGCTACTGACATCTATTGTTAGGAGTGTACAGGCAAATGCAGACTGTACTGGAGTGAAAACATACTTTTTTTAGGGTTGGAAGGGTTGGGGTTTTGCACTGGAACGTGGCACGAGAATAGGCTTGGCATGGGTTGCCCCTTTGACTTTCACTTTTCAGTCGTCCCCTAATACCTTGCCAAAAATAAGCCCTATGAAGTGGGAGTCCTCTTTGAGGTGCTGGCCTCAGTGAAGGCAGTTTTCTAAGCAGGGCTTGAATCAAAATCTTCCTTGAATACTTTTTCTGCTTGAAGAGTTCCTTTTCCAGAGGAAAAAAAACCCAACAAAACCAAACAAGTTTCTTTTTAATTGTGAAAAATGATTCTTAAACAAAACAAAAAACTATTTGGGTCATGAATGCAGCTATTGGTAACGCCGACAATTGCATGAAAAGCTTCGCAGGCTGATGCTCAAAACAACTTTTTTTGCGAAGGCTTCCAGATGTTTTGCAGACCTCCTGTCGCCACTGTGCAGCTTGCCTTTGTGATGAATGTGGTTTCTACCCCAAGGTTGCACTGGAGTGCAAGCAAAAAAGCATCCCTCCTTTTTGGGGGCAGGATGCAGGAGCCAGGCGGGGTTTCAGGTCTCTGGTTTAGCGCCATCTCTGCTGATGTGATAGGGCTGTGAGCAGCCTCAGCCTGGCTCCCATTATACCTGGCTAAATGGATGCATGGTGCAGGATGGGGCTGGGGCATGTGTCACCCCTTCAGTTGCCACACTGGCCAAGCTGAGGCTGCTGGTCAGCATCTTCAGACCTGCACCCAGGGGTGGTGTGGAGCTGCCTCAGATGACCCTGGGTTGGAGCTGAAGCCAGAGTGGCCAGGTAGGGCTCTGGTGTTGGAGAAGCTGTGTGTGGTCATACCATGAAAGGCATTTTGACAGAGCATTAGAAAAGGAGGAGGTGGCAGGGCCCAGGGAGCAGGCAGGGGGCAGGTTGGAAGGATGACCTTTGGTGGCTGTCCTCAGCCCTTGCTAGCACTCCCTTGAGTGATGGAGATGGGCTAGTGTGGCATGAGGGAGCCTCAGCCTTCTCACATGGGTAGGAGTGGAGAGGGTCTCATGGCTTATCTTTCAGCTCCCAGGCTGAAGAGGCAGGGAGAGATACCCCATGTCCTCTGCCACCCAAGCCCAAGGAGAAACCCTTGGCACAGCCAAGGACATGCTTCAGGGAAGGACCTTCCGCTCCTTCCTCCTCTTGGGCAGGAGTTTTGTTTGTTTGCTTTCCTGATTTTGTTTCTACATCATTTTGGCTGCCCAAAGGGGCACACAGGTAAGAGAAGCCTTTACCCCAGCCCCATGAGTGAGGTGGACCACATATTTGCTTCTCAGAAACCAGTGAGGGGGTTGGTTTTGCCACTGAGTTGCTTTGCAAATGGCTGTGTAGGTCCACATCTCTTGTATCATCACCCACAGTCCTGCAAAAGAACAGGGTTCAGGGTTTCTCAGCCTCCACCCTCCTTTCTCCAGTCCCATTGCTGGAGGCTGGGGGAGCTCAGTGCCTGGCTTCTCATGGCATTGAGCTGCTGCTGTGACAGCACAGCAGTCACTGGCAGTTTTTCCTGTAATGCTCTTCACGCCAAAAGGAAGGAGACAATCTGAAATTGCTTGGGTGTCTGGGAGCAAAGAGGTACCCAGCTGAGAGCTCTTCTACCCTGGGAGCTGTCAGCTGAAGCTGGTGATGAATTGGAGGGGCTCTGCTGGCCTTGGGAAATATCTCCTCAGGTCTGAGCCAGGGGTGGGGATTCAGCTTGGAAGGGTTGGGTTGGAGATGGTAAGTCAAGACTATGTCGCCAGTCCACAAAATCAGTATTTCTTTCCCCTGCTGGCCCATTTTTCTCCATCATGGGGTGGGAATTGTGGACGTTGTCCCTAGAGTAGCTGCCCATGTCCCAGGAGCACCAAAGGCTTCTTGAACCATCGGTGCAACGATGTGATTCCCAGCACCAGTGCCCCCTGGTTTTCAGGGCTTGGTGGTGGGAACTGGAGGATAGAGGATGTAGGGGTGGAGGAGAGGGCAATGAAGTGGCCTCCATCCAGCCTTAAAATCCCTCCCTTGTCCCCTCGACTCCTCTCACTGCCGTGTCCTCACAGCACAGCCTGGGGACAGCAGGAACAGCCAGACAGTGCTGTGCCAGCAGCAAACTGATTGGGATTGTTACCTGCTTGCCCTTACTTGTCAGAGCTCCTGCCTCATTCAAACTTTAATTAATTATCATTATTTACTTCTTATCTGATGTGTTAAGAGCACAAAGTAGGGCTGTGTCTGGGACGCATGGTGCTGGGGTCCAGCTGGGGCAGCAGGAGAAGGGAGGTGAGTCAAAAGATTCATGGTCCTCCTCAGAGAGAGACATCTATAGCTCCTCCAGTCCTATCTGGAAAACCAGTGGCTGGGACTTCTTCGTGCTTTACATGAGTCCTAGGACTTCATGTGCCTCAGCTCCATCCATGATCCCTGAGAGCAACAAAATTGGCTTCTGCCTTTCTCAGCATGTCTGTTGGGAGTCTCTCATGCCCTCTGCTTTCTCTCCCCTGAGAGCCAGCACACTCTTGATCTGAGTCTGCCCTAAAAGGCCGCAGCCGTTGAGGTCTCCATTTTCATCTCCTTCCTTAGCAGCGTTGCCTCTCTATTGTCCTTGACGCTATCGAATGACCTTCCGATCCTGGGGTTTCTTTTGCTTTTCTTGCCATCCCAGGCATGCAATGAATTCACCACCCACGTGATGAACCTGCTGCGTGAGCAGAGCCGGACCCGACCTATCTCACCGAAGGAGATAGAGCGGATGGTGAGCATCATCCACCGCAAGTTCAGCTCCATCCAGATGCAATTGAAGCAAAGCACGTGTGAAGCTGTCATGATCTTGCGCTCCCGATTTCTGGATGCACGGTGAGTTCACCCCACCAAACCTTTCTCCCCACCCACTGTGCAGTATTGTTGCGGCCTAGGAGAGGTGTTTTGAGGTTCTGGAGTGAATTCAGGTTCATATGAAGGACCATGTCTCTTGGTCTTGAGGCACAGAGGCCATTTACTTTCTTTATCCTTTAGTTGTCTATGGCTCCGCAGGGGAGAGGATAGCAATTCCAGACATCCAGCCTCTGTCTCAGGGAGGCTTCCAGCTGTACCTTGAGAATTGTGCATCCAGGCTTTGCTGTGGCAGAATGAAATTCTGTGGCATATTGCAACAAACCTCTGTGATGAAAATGTGCATTTCAGTTAGGGATGAAACCTAATCCTCCACCCCATCCCATCCTCTCTAGTTCCTATTCTTTTCCTTCCGTTTCCATTTTCCCAGATTTTTTATTTGTTGTAGAATTATTTCACTGCCCAAGCTGGTTGTATGCAGGCTGTGGCTTGGGCTGCAGTTTGGGATGGGGAGGAGAGGCAGTTACACTGGGGGATGAACAGTCAAGTAATTCCCAAGTGCAAATGGAACAGTCCTCACCAGGGGTATATACCCAGCACTGCTTTCTCAGTATGGAGCTTTGCAGAGTAGCAGTGATGTCTTTGGCCAGGGCAGCCAGGTGTCGAGAGTCACCTTCCCAGGTGGAGGAGCTGGGTGCCAGTTTTGAGACTCTTCTGTGTTGCAGTAGGAATTTGAGACAGAGATTTGCTGAGGAAGGTGCTGAGAGAAGAGTCGCCAGCAAAGGGCAGATGAGAAACTTCCTGGCTGTGAGTCTGTTGCACTCCATGCTCCCAGGAGCAGGGGAAGGAGGGAGGGAAGCAAGGAAAGTCAAGAGTGTTTAAAATTGCACTCCTGTTTCTGGATCCCTGACACTGATTTGCATTTCTTTTCCTTCTGTTTCCCCCTCTTTCTTAGGCGGAAGAGACGAAACTTCAACAAGCAAGCTACGGAAATCCTGAATGAGTATTTCTATTCCCATCTCAGCAACCCTTACCCCAGTGAGGAAGCCAAAGAAGAGCTAGCCAAGAAATGTGGCATCACAGTCTCACAGGTGAGAAAGCTCAGAAATACAGTAAAGATGGCTGCTGCTATTGCGAAGCCTTAGCATAGTGAAGGACACTCCAGACCTCAGTCAAGTCAGTCATGTCCCAGTGTTGAGCATTTCATTTCTAAGTTAGTTTAGCACACGTTTGTGTAAGTGGATGGGGAAGGAGACAGCAGGCTTGCAGTTTGAAGCTGTTGATGAAAAAGGAGAGTTTGAGAGAAGATTCAGAAGGGATAAAGACTACATAGGATGATGGCTGTGTGTGAAGCCAAGGTGTTAACAACCCAGAAATGATGTGGCATGAGCCACAGGGGCAAAGTCTTTTCTTGAGGGAATTAGTGCTGAACTGGCTTGCAAGAAGAGCTTGTTTGAGCTGACAGTCCATTCTTTGAGCCAAGGATTTGAAGGCAGTAAAAAGAGTTGTGCAGATTTTGCTCGATAAAGTATAATCAACAAGGTCCTGATGGGAATGGTTTGGGTCAAACAGGCTAATGGTTATAGTTTGTGGTCAAGGAGGGTGGGCTTTCTCGGGATGATTTCTCTCTGTTTTTACGCTTGTGCTGCAGAACATGACATCTCCCTGACTTGCTTATCCCTCAAAGAAAGGTGGTCAGTAAAGACAAATGGAAGTATTTCCATACATTCAAGGCAGCCATGTAATTCCTGGAGTCTGGAGCTTTGACCTGGGAGCTGCTGGAATTTGTGAGGAGTGCAGTCCTTGATGTGTTCATCTGTACATTGGCCAGGCCTGCCTCTCTTTATTTTCTCTCTTTTTGGGGCAAGCTTTCTGATTGAAAGCAAATCTGTGCAGCCTTTGATAGTCTTGTCCTCATGTGAGCTTAGTGTGCCGTCGGGGATCCCATTGCTTTCCCCATCTTGGGCCGCTTTCCAGCCCCAGACCTATGCCTATTCATCGCTTGAGTAAACTGGAGACAGCAGTAGCATCTGATGTCCTTGTGAGAGCATGTCTGCCTTCAGCAGGAGCAACAGCATCCAAGGGTAGGTGTTGTCACCATGTTGAATGCTTGCTGAGTGAGTCCGATTGCATCCCCTGGGTCAGAAGACCCAAACATTGATTCTGCCCAGAGTTACCGATGAGAAAGAGCAGATAGTGGCTTAAGTAAAACTACAGCTGTCCTGATGCTTCCCCTCTTACTTTTAATTCCTCTATTCACACTTAACAACTTTTACCTTGCAAAGAGAAGATGCCCAGGAGAAATACTGCACTTAAGATATTTTTTGACTGTGCTGTATCAAAGCTGCTTTCTGTCTGTCTTCAGAATCTCGCTTCTTCATCCAGAGAAGGTAGAAACAAACACGCATCTGGGCCTCTGCTTTTGCTGAGGCTAAGTGGGACCATGGGACAATATGAATCTGTGCAAGTCATAAGCAGAGTTTGTCTGAAATCAAAGGCTGACAGGGGTAGGCAGGTTCTTTGCTTCACAAGTTTCAAGGTGAAGATCAATTGTAGTGGTCATCTATCCCAACTTCCTTCCCTGTGGTACTCATAGTTCAGCCACTGGCTCCAGTATTTGAAGCTGGATGAGCTGTTGCAGAGATGGCCAGGTGGGAAGTTCACGAAGGAGCACGTTGTCAGTAATGGGAAAGCTGGACCAAGAAATGGAATTGAGCTCCTTGCAGACAGCACCTTCTGGTGCCATACAAATGTTCGCTCCCAGATCTGGGTTGGGTGCTGGTCTGAGTCTCTGATGTTTATGTTTTCTTCTTCCTGCTCTGCAGCAGCACAGGCTTGAATACCTGCAGTTCAGTAGCAGGTAAACTGGTAGAAGAAGCCATTTCTGCATAGAAGCTGCTGAATGCTCTAGGATCACTGCAGATAGTATCGTAGGAATGAAAGCATATGGGTTTCAGTTATAAACACCCAAGCTAAAACAATTTTCCTAAGATGAGGTAAAAATCACAAGCTTCCCAGAATGAACAGCCAGTGGTTTATTAGAGTGTTTTATTAGAGTTGCAGCATCCTCTGGCATTTGCTCATTCTCTTCATCTTGCTGAGCTTTTCCAAACAAGGTCAGTAGTGACTGGAAGTTGTCTTCTGCTTAGAGAGCTGCATGTAGGAAGACACACCCCTGGTTATCTGTATTTGGTGTTGTCAAAAAAGAAGCTGAGATTTGCTTCCCCAACCGTAGGTTGAATATTTCCCACATCTCTGAAATTGTTCAGTGTGACATGGTGCCCACATGTGAACAGGATTATCATCAGCAGTGTACTGAGTAGATTTGGGGAACACTGAGTTCATGGTGGTTTGAGAGGTACCCTGATACTTTCCCTGGGAATCAGTTCTGGCCAGATACCACAGCCTGGTTCCACAGACTTCAGAGTTACCCTATCACTGTGCTGAATCTCTGACATGCAAACTTTGGGGTATTTTATTCAGACACCTGACAGGTTGACCAAGCAATCTTTTCTTTCAAACATTCATACTTCTGATCCCAGGATATCACTCTGACAGTCTGCAGAGATCACTGCTCAGACCTCACCTTGGGGCTTTCTGAGGTTCATGCATTGTACTGCTGCAGGCATAGGGAAACAGCTTTCACCAGGACTGGCATGACCAGAGCTGCGCAGCTTCATTCTGCCTTCAGATCTGGCCCATAATTTTCAGCCATCCCCATGATTTGAGAAGAAGTTCATACAGCTTCTTAATTTTTTTTAAATAAATCCCCTAATCCCTTTCAGCACAATTCTAGGCACTGAAGTCAGGCCCACGCTGGTCTCTGGGCAAACACAATCTCCTGCCCCTTTCCAAGGAACACACTTGTTCCCTGGGACCAAAGTTAGGTCTTAGAGTGAGCCCTGTGCTCCCTCTCTAGCCTTCCCCTGGCATTCCTGGTTTATGTAGTGGCTCATGCTAAACCGTACAAAGCCAAGATGAGCTAGATGAAGAGCATCCACTTCTGGCCTTTTGCACCAATTTCACTCAGTTGGATCAAAAGCAGAGCTTCAGTGATACCAAGGTATTTTTATGCGTCAGCCAGGCCCTAGTAAATTCATTCAGTGTTCTCCCTGAAAGCCACACTGTCCAAAGGGAGGAGAAGGGGCAGCTGGGAATCAGGGGATCTGTCCCTGTCAAAGGGATACTGAGGAGGAAGCAAATAAAAAGTTCCAAAATGACACATACCTGTTTTCAGATATTGTGCAGTTTTACAGTCATTTGACTTCCTCAGGTTTTTTTAAACTCGTCTCGTATTTTTATGGGGTGGCTCTAGCTTTTCCTGTAGAACATCCCCTTAGTGGATGTCCCATTCATAGAGGAACCAGATATATTCTCACAACCCAGTCCTCCCAAGAGGGTCTCACCACCTTTCCTGAGCTTGGTGTAGCACACGCAGGTAGAAGGTGTTTCCTTCCACAGCTAGGAAAGTGGGAGGGAAAAAAGAATATTCACTACTTAACGTGAACTAATCCACCTTCCTTACCAAGCCACACTTGCCAGAGCTGAAACATTAATGTCTTTGTCTTCTCTTAAACTCGCTCTAGGTATCAAACTGGTTTGGAAATAAGAGAATCCGGTACAAGAAGAACATAGGTAAATTTCAAGAGGAAGCCAATATTTATGCTGCCAAAACGGCTGTCACGGCTACCAATGTGTCAGCCCATGGAAGCCAGGCTAACTCACCCTCAACTCCCAATTCAGCTGGTTAGTTTTTGTTTTATTTTTTATTTTGGGTCATTAGTGTTCGTTTTTTTTGTTTGTTCTCCCCCTCCCCCTAATCTCTCTCTTGTTTTTCCCCTTCTGGTTATTTGAATTTTTATTTTCTGGTTTTGGTTGGCTCACTTTTGTGGTCTTTAAAAAAAGGCAGAGATGGGATGTGTTTTTTAGGGTTGTTTTGGGGGGTACTTTATTTTCTTTGCCTTTTTCCCCCTCTTTTTTCTTTTCTCTTTTTTTTTCTCTTCCCCTGTCCTGTTCAGTTTTCATTGGGAAAATGATGTGATAAGACCTTGTAACCGATGTCACCTTGGGGGTTATATGCATGGATGGTAAACACAAAACCAGAAATATGTTCCATAAAATGTTGCTGGAATTGCTTGCATTTTGAGGTGAAAAAAAAGAATAATTAAGAACTCGTTGCATAACGATTTTATTTTGCTGGGGCTGGAAGCATGAGTGGCCCGAATGGCTAAACCCCAGCATTTTTAGGATGTCCTAATTCATGAACTTTGGAGGGTTGTTTCGGGTAGATCTTTGGTTTTCTTTCTGTTGTGGTTACCTTTGATTGCTTACGTGACAATGTCTGGATCATCTGCAAGAGTGTGTGCTCTGTTTGAATTTTATTTTCCTTCTGTGTCAGCACAATCCAGGGAAATCCATGGGTCGTTCCCTTCCCTTTCCCCCTTTCCTGCCCATTTGCTGTGGTTTACATTTGTTTGTTTTGAGGGTCAAAGGCACAGAGCACTTGGCCCAGATTTCAACTCCTCTGCTAGAGAACGATGCTTAGTTCATGCGTGGTGCCTGCCACAAGGATGGCCGACCCAAAAATAATCCTGGGCTGCAGTCGACTGGTTGTGCTCTGCTCCCAGGAGCGATGCAAAATTGGAATTTGTTGAAAAGGAGAGAAAAAACCTGAACTTCATGCGTGCCATGTACTTTGTTATCGATGCAAATATCTATGTGCCTGTTTTCTTTTTAGGGGTGGGAGGGAGAGTGGGAATGTGCCATGCTTGGTGTCAGCTTGGTGTCAGCTCATGGTACCCTTTCACATGGGTGTGGAGCTTGCTCTTATGAGGTAGGCTACTAAGAGGAAGGAAATGGTGGAAGAGCAAAGAGAATGGTGGGGAGCAGGAGAAGCTAGATGTTAGAGTACTAGTGGTACACTGTGCAAATGCTGGTTACTATCAGGACATGCTTCTGTAGTGAGCACAGTCCTGCCTGTGGCAGGTAGCAGAGGAATCGCACCTCAGAAGCACCCCCAGATCTGTAAGATTTGAGTGAAAAGTGGAGACCCAGGGGTCATACAAGGAGAGAAACCAGTGGTAATAGTCTCTGGCTGATCTCTCGAACCGGTCCCTCAGTGGGAAGGCAAAGGCAGTCCATTATCTGTGAGCTAATATAGTAAATGGTGGTTCATTGCTCTGTGCTGGGGAGCTCATCCACACCTTGCAGGGACTCATGTGGATGGCTTGCATAGAAGCAAGTGGTAGAGGTCTTATTCAGTTGGGCAGTGAAGTCCCTACATACAACCTCTTCATTTCCAGAGGACATGTTACGTGCTAAGGGTCTGCCCCCCCAGAGCCACCTAGAGCAGAGCTGGTGCAGCTTTTGGTTGCAAGTCAGAAACACTGCTGGGGGGGGCATCTCCTCACACAGGGCTGTCTGCTGCAGCTCAACTGAGGTGCTCAGAAGGCTCTGGTGGATGCAGCAGAGTTCTCTAGGGACAGATGGTTTTCAGGAGTTTTGTTTGATTCTTTTATTTTTGTTTTGTTTAGGTTTTTTTCCCTTTTCCTTCTGTTGTTTGAACTGCTGATGATTTAGCTGAAGTTTTTACAATGTTGTCCTTTCCAAACAGCTCACTCGAAATACCTGGTCAGGTGGGGTTTCCTGATGTTGACACCCCCTTGTAGAAAAAGCTGGAGAGTAGAGAGCAGAATGGTGTGTGTTGAGGGGAGATGCCTGCTGCCTGTGATGCTGTCCTGAAGTCCACATCAGCTTAGACACAGCTTTTCTTCTCTTCCTCTTTCTTATACTGGGTCAGATCCAAAGGTCTGGAATGGCAAGAGAAAAGCTTCCAATTGTTTAAATGGCTTTGGGTCTGGCCTGCATGCAGTGGAAGAGGCATTTCCCAGTGCCTGCCCAGTTAAATAGTGCTCTGGTGTGAGGTTGTTTCTTTGCGTTCCCCACAGGCAGTAAGACAGCTGTTTCAAAGATAAATTGGCCAGTACCCTGCAGTAAACAGCTAAGATAATCCCTGGATAACACTATGCTTTCAACGAAGGACAAACAGTCTTGTTATTAACGAGTAAGACTTGAGATCCTGGATCCTCTTTCTGGCTCACTTGTCTGCACTCTAGAAACACTGACTTCAGGTGTCTAATGCGGTGGTTCTAAAGCAGCACATCAGTGTGGGGGGAGCTTGCAGGCCATGTTGATCCTTCTTCTGCTAGAAGTGTTTGTAACCTGGCCCAGATCCCACCATCTTCCCTGTATCCAGCAGCAGCGAGGCCTTGCTGTCAGCACTGCAGTAGTCTCTAGGGCAGATTGCAGAGATAGTGCATTTGGATACTGGAAAAGCCTCAGGATTTTATGTCCAACAGTGGCATCCCAGGTTGAGATCTCCCCAGCTGAACCATGCAGATGTAACAGCTCAGTCAAGCTGTGGGTTAAAGGCACATCCTGAGGACATCTAGAGTTGAGTGACCTCCCCTGCTGCAGGTTGTCTTGTAGGCGCTAGCAGCGAGAAGCACACCTGTATATGCTAGGTCTGAAATACCTGTCTGTGAAAAATTTGGAGGATGCTGTCGAGGGCCGTGAGCCATCCAGTTGTGCTGCATTGCCCTGGGAGGAATGTGGAAGTGGATGAAGAGGTGAAGGACTAAGATAGATGATGCTTCTCCTTTTACACCATGGACTTCTTTCAGATCATCAGCTATAAGGTTTTTGAGGAAGGAACCTGAGCAAATAATGGGATTTGATGAGAGTATGTAGACCTTCTGGTTTAAATACATTGTAGGGCATGTGGAAAGAAAGAGTGTAGGCAGAGGACAGGGCATGAGAAAGAAGCGACCAGCAGTGTAGTCCCTGGAGGGCCATGATGTTGGAAGAGGAGGTGGAACTGGGTGTGCTGGGACCTGGGACAGGAGTTAAATTCATTTCTGCCACGGCTGCGCAGGCCCATCTGTTCTCTGCAATGATGCCCATGTTACCGGAGATCGGTGAATGGCTACAGTCAGTCAAAGAGATTGGCCACACATTGACAAGGGCAACAATTGCATCTGTCTAGCCATCTGGCACGTTCAAAGCAGGGTCCCCCATCCTCAGTCACCCAGGCCTGAATGTCAAACACCTTTTCATCCTGAATGCGCACAGTTGGGCTTTATCAGCCAGATGTTCAAATAAGCTGAGATGTCTGGCTCATTTGGGCTAACAACTCCCCATCCTCACTTTGATTGCCTGGACAATCTCAGCACAAAAAACACATGGCAAATTCAAGTTATTTTATGTGGGCAGACCCTTTTGCCAACCAGGGTCCTCAAGGACCACATGCAGGTGATGACATCCAGTGAAATCTTCCATGCAGAGCAACCAAAATTGTCCTGAAATGTTTTTTGCTCCTGCTTACCCTTTTATTTTGTGAATATCTTGTGCAAAACTGCTGGTGGAGGGGATTGTGCTGTCTGGAAGTATATGTATGTCATCAGGCACAGGCCTGATGGCTGTATCTTCTCTTCTCTGCCTTCCTCCATTTGTGGCAGTCAGTTTTCCAGAGCACAGCATGGGAGAGGACCCTTCGTCAGTAGAGAAGCTGCCCTACTTAGAGTCTCACTGTCTTAAGTGTTGGTTAGCAAGTGAAAAAGAACAAATGCACTGCTGAGTTCATCCCTGGCTTTTAGACCTGCTATCAAACTCAGTGGCTTTGTCCAGCTGAGGAGCTACATGGTCCATCACGTTCCTCCCTCGTCTTTGGCCATGGTACAAACACAAGGAAAAAGTTACAGGAGGGGTATTCTCAGTGCTTATATGTCATTGCCATTGTCTTCAACTAGGAGCCTTCTATACATGACCACAGTCTACTTAAATGCTTCAGTGTGCTGGATCTGTGTCTCATTGGTGGTAGGTGGTATGAGGCATCAGATGAGGATGGTTTGATTTCAGCTCCAATGAACATAATTACTGTCTGTTTATCCATGGTGCCATTTGACTTGTCAGGTATGTTAGAGAAAAGTACTTACTAGAGTTCCTGGAAAATCTGAGGTGGAAGTAGAGACTGACAAAGCGCTAGAGAAGACATCAGAGAAGAATAAACTCTGAAGAGTTGGAGAAGTGGTGCAAGAAATGCCAGCAGACAAGCTTGTGAAGATTTTTGAATTGGAGGCAAAATTAAAGTGGGTTGTGCTCATCAGAAATGTTAGGGGTGGAAGAAACCTCTTTGTGGGCATTATTTTGATGTAGGATTTCATCCAGTAACAAGATCTGACTGCCACAGCATTCCAGAACTCTTTCTGAAGCTGGTGATGAAATGATAGAAATTCATCACTAAGGAATAGTGGTGGTAGGTCTTTGGTTCAGTAAAATAATCTGGATGCTGAAAATGATCCACTGTTCCTCACTGCTACAAGTCATAAAAAGTGCTGGGGTTTCTGGTATTTTGGAGGGGGGTTGGTCTGCACACAGTAGCATCAGGGGACTTCCATGCCAAGATCAGAGCCTTTTCCTTCTGGCTTCCCAAGCTCAAAGGTGGTTGTTCCTTCTTGGTTGTTAAGGAGTCCCCAGTCAAATTATGACCACTGAAAACCTTTACTGTGCTCACAGTGGAGCCTTGCAGAGGGACAGATTACATTTATGGTGAAGCCTTCTCTAACCGAAGGATTTGATTTGTATTTCCAGATGTGTTCTCTGTGGAATATACCAATCTTAATTTTCAGGGCTCTTCACATTCCTGCCCCCTCTCCCACCCCAGTGCATCAGCCCCTCTTAGCTGCGTCTCTCAGACTTTGGGCCATCATAATTTTCATACATGGCAGGTACATAGACAGCAGAGTGCTGAAGCAGCAGAGTGGCAGCGTGAAGGGCTCTCTGCAATTACGGCTCTGATACAAATGCATCCATACATGCAGGGCCATTGGTATGCGCATATTTATCTTTGCATCCACATCAGCAACAAGACATATTCACTGTTTAGATATGCACATATATTGTAAAAATACCCTGTGCCAATAGCAGTGTATATCTTGTAAGTGACATCTCCAGCGCTCCTCATGATTTCCAAGACACCAGCGCTCTACAGAACTAGAATCTGTGGCTGTTTGTTTACTTTTATTTCCTCCCTCCCAGTCTCAATTTCACAGGCAGGTTTGTTAAGTTTCAATAAAATACCAGTTAACTTCATGGCGTTTTTATCTGTTATTATTGTTACAATTTTCTTTTGGTAGGGGAAGGTGGGGTAAGATGTTGCTCTGCTGGGGGCAGAGTGATAGCAGTGCCCTGTCAGGTGCTCAGGGATTCCCAAGTCCTCTTCCCAGCTCTGTCACTGATCGTTTGTGTGATCTCAAAGGTTTCTGCTCACCTTAAAAGAACAAGAGAGTATTCTTTGCTTCTTGCGAGCAGTAGCTGCAAAGTCCCTTGGTTCTCAGCCACTGCGGGAGTATGAAGCCACAGTTAATTCATGACCTCTGCTTTTATACCAGTGGTCAAAGTGATCGTTCAGAAAACTGAGTAGGAAGCATCCAAAGATGTATGTGAAAAGTGCCCATATTTGTGCTTAAAGTTGATCAGTGTCAGGGTGGGCTATCCTCAGTCTGCCAGCTCATTTCCCTAGGTTTTTTGCTTTTAAAACAGCAAGTAACCTGAGAGGTTGTGAAATGACAGGAGGCCTTTGCCAGCTGAGCAGAGGAGGTGATAGTTACAGCTGCCTTCTGACTAGTCCCGGTTATTTTACGCAGCAGCGCTGTGGGATTGATCTCTGGAACAGGTTGGGCAGAGTTCACAATGAGCACAGACAATAAGCTATTCCTGGCTCTGCTCTTTTAAGGCACCAGTGGGAGGGTCCGGATCCAGGACTGACTGTGCTCAAGATGAGTCTTTCTCTTGACTGTCTTGGACATTGTATCTAGCAGTGATGTTTCTGCTTTCCTTCAATGCTGAGAATTACCAGCACCTGACAAAAGAGCCAGTTGCAAAGAGAGCAGCAGAGAGTTTAGTGAACATGAAGTCTCCAGCATAGACCTCCCACCTCCTCCCTGCCCTTTTTGGAGGTGAATTCCTTCAGAGGAGCCTTCCTGGTCCACCTCCAGGACTAAGCTAGTGTCTGTTCAGAGTGTTTCTTCCTTGTCCAGCAGAGGAAGGGGGATTGCCAGGTGTTTCTCAGAGTGCACGCATGAGCCATAGGTGGGCAATTCCACCAGGACTATGGTTGCCAGTCTTCAAGGTTGGAAGTGGCAGTGGAGATGATGAGAGTGTATTTGGGGTTGGAGTTGAAAACGTAGCTGACCTGGGCCCCTGAAGTCTCTCCTTTCCAAAGCTAACGTCATGTATATAACCAAACCTTGCACGTTGAGCTGTCTCACACTTAACGCGCTGATCTGCACGATAAAATCTGAAATAATCCCATAAAACCTTTTTATTTATTTTTAATCCCCTTCCCTGCCTTCCAGTTATGTGATGGGTTTGTTTCTCCCATTCAGTAGCTGAGGAGGTGCTCAGATATCTCAAAGCTGGAAGCAGAAAACCGTGTTTCTGCAAAGATGGGTTTTTTTTTTCTTTTTGTGGATTTTCTTCCTCATGATCCCACTCAGTTGTCTTCACTGTGACAATTTTTTAGTGTAACATTGACAACTGGTGCGTGCAGTGGGGAATTTCATTAAAGAGCTCGTTCTTCTGGGGCAGCTGGCCCAGAAGGGAAGTGACACCCTTGCATTCTCTCATGGCCCGTCATGATGAAAGACACTTGCCAGCATGGTGGGTACTGGGAGTCTAGCCCAGGTGTCTTCACATTTTTGCGAGCCTTCACTCCTGGTTCGCACCAGTGATGGGTTCCTTATGTCCTGAAGGCAAACCCTACACACCACTCCCTTGCAGAGCTCCCCATGGCTCAGTGGGAGCTCCAGCTGTGCAACTGGATGTGCTCACCCTGCAGAGAGCAGCGCAGTGTAGACTTAACCCACCCTGATCTGAGCTCAGAAGCAGCAGTAGTGTGGGTCTGCTTCACCTGGCTGAGCAGTCTCCTGCTCTTGATAGTGAGGCTTGTTTGGGTAACTCTGTTCTCCAGTGCAGTCTGCCGGGTGGACACCTCCAGCAACCAGGATTTTTCAAAGCTGCCTGGAGGATTTGGATGCCCAGAAATTAAGGGAAAGGCTGTCTGAGTCCTCCAGGCTGGGCTTTGTTTGTCTTGGTCAAAAGCATGAAGAATCCTTCCTCCAGCTGAGGAGCTGTTGAAGAATGTTCTTGGCATTGAGCTGTAACAACATGTGGCTTTGAATAACCTCAAGAGTGCATCCTGTTTTTTGCTTGCTCTGTTCTTCATGCTACTAACCTGACTCTGTGTTTTGTTTTTGTGGTTGCTTTGCATGTTGTTCCTTCCTCTTGGCTGAGAGTCATGGGGTGGATCTTTTTCCTTTCTGTGATTCAGGTGCCTCACTCTTTCCTTTCCAGGTTCTTCCAGTTCTTTTAACATGTCAAACTCTGGAGATTTGTTCATGAGCGTGCAGTCTCTCAATGGGGATTCTTACCAAGGGGCCCAGGTTGGAGCCAACGTGCAGTCACAGGTAGGGACCCATCCGATGTACTGCCAGTGAATGCATTAGTGTTGGAGGAGCCTTTGACTGTATTGGCACTTCTCCCTCCCGTCCGAAAAGAACAAATCTCAACCAGCACAAATGAACCAACACTTAAAAAAGGCAAACCAAACTGAAAAACCAACCAACCAAAAAAAGCAACAGCAACAACCACCCAAAAAAAAAATAATCCAAAAGAAACAAAAACTAAAACCAAAACACCCAACCAAACCAACAACCATGGTCTTGAGGAGACTTGCCCACACTTTGTGAATGCATTTGGCTCTGGCTTGATAGTTGTACTAGAAGGAGAGGAGGTTTAGGAGAACAGGCACGAACTCAAATGAAAGCACCTGAGGTTTAGGTTGTGCTTGCTTTATTCTTCCAAGGGAAGGGCCCAGATGTTTGGACTGGTGTCTCATTTTACAAGGAAGGCTTCCACTTACTCCTTTGGTGCCAAACCAGGTGTCTGCTGAAAGGCAAGAAACATTCAAATACACAGCTAGGATTTTTGTTGTTTATTTTGTTTTTTTTTAAATTAAAAGGCACTCTTCAACATTTCACCACCTCCCCAAAGCACAGGCACTCAATGCCACCCATGTACACACCAGCAAGACGGAGCATGGGAGCTTTGAACAGCATTACTGAAACATCAACCCATGCTTTGGGCAAAAAGAAAGAATTTAAAATAGCCACGAAGTCACTCAGATTTCTCACCTCCCATCCAGTATCTAGATGTGCCATGAGTCTATTCTCTGGCATCTAAGGCTCTGTAGTGTGAGACAACAGCCACTCTGACACTTCTGCATTGGGCAAGGAAGCTCTCTAAAGCCAAGATTGCCCCACTCACAGTGCTGGATGCAGAGCAAGCATGCCATCCATGGGTAGCGAGACACACTCACCATGCATGCTGCTGCTGGGGCTGGGCTGGGTGAGAGAAGGGAGAGTAATGGGGTTCCCAGAGGAGAGCTGCCAATGCGTTTGCCGTGGTAGGTATGTTGCCTTTCTGGGCCCTCCAAAATGAAGGCAGTCAGCTGACTCCAAGGATCAGCTTCCACTTCTGTAAGCTTCCCAGTGCCTGGGGCCAAAGGGTGGAAGGGGTAAGAAAGTGCGTCCTTGAGCACAGTGGTGCAACTGGCTGCATCAGTGTGCTCCAGGAGGTCCCACCCTACACTTGCCATGCTGTTCTCCCTCTCTGCTCTTTCTATTGAAAGACTTGGGACTGAGGAGTGCATGATGGGGCCACCAGGGCAGACAGGGGGTCATGGTGAGGGAGACAGGAGCAGCCGTCTGGCTCAGCTCTGGCTTCAAGAGCAACTGTGGTTCTCTTTGCCCTCTTTAAATATATACCATTGTTATTATTGTTATTATTAGTATAAATATTATTATTACTACTACGACTCTTTTTTTTATCTTGCCAAAGTTGAACCAAAGCATCTTTGCCCACTAACCTTTCATTCACTCTAATTTGTGTCTTTGTTGTCGTTGGTCTGTTTAGGTGGATACCCTTCGCCATGTTATCAGCCAGACAGGAGGATACAGTGATGGACTCGCAGCAAGTCAGATGTATAGTCCGCAGGGCATCAGTGTAAGAAAAAAAAAAAATAGGCTTGAGTTCTTGTTTTTTGGGTGGCTTTTTTATTCATTTTTGTTCTCTCACTGCCAATTATTTCAAAGCCATAGGGCTCAGAATGCCACTTAGTAGGACTTGTCTTTGCTTTTACGGTCACCTAGTTTATTGCTTCTGTATCGGTCACGCCAACGGCAGAGCTTTGCCCACAAAAAAAGTGGCGACCGGGCAGGCTTTGTGCAGGCAGCTGGCGTCTAGGACTGTCAGAGCTGATCAGCGTTTGCCTGGCACCTGCGGCCACACGCGCTCGGCCGAGAGGAGCTGCTAAACAGGTGACACCTTGTGTAGCTGTGGTGAAGGATGTCACCGCTGATGCCCAGTCCAGAGATGGCTTCACGCGGAGGCCAATGGCACCATCCCAGAGCTACCGTCTAAAAATAAGCCATCCCTGGCCAGCATCCGAAAGTACGGCGACAATGGGGTTGGTGGCAATAACGAATGCAAATAAAAGGAGAAAAAAAACCCACAACAACAAAACAACAAAGCCAACCAATGTCAACCCAAGAAAACCTCATCCAACTGGGCTGGGGGAGGATGTGAGGGGGAGGGCGGTCTCCAGAGCATCTTCTCCTTGTTCTTGGGTGCGCTGGCGGGTTCTGACTAGCATGAAAATTCGTAGCGACAAGCTGTGTCGCACAGGGGGAAATCGATCAGACACACACAAGGAGAACCCAGTGTAGATTCGGGACAGCAATCCAACTTCATTTCTCAGATCAATCGTCTGCCATCTCAGCAGTGGTGACAGCAAGCTGGGAGAAGAGGGCAGCCTGGAAAAGGAGGCTGTGAGCGCCAAGTGGGTGGTGGCAGAGGTGGCCAGGGATGGCACGGAGGAGGGGGTGGCTGACTGCTGCAGTCCCCATTAGGAGCCTAAAGGTTGAGGTGGCGTGATCTCAAACTGGGCAGGAAGGCAGTGATCCTCCAGGTGGGGCAGTGGTCCTGTGGGTGAGCACCCCAGCGGGGTGCACCATCCAGTCCCATCACCATCCTGGACAAGGCTTATGCCATACGTCACCTTGCGTGTGACCATCTTTGGGCCATTGGCGTGCAAGCAGCCACTGCTGGCATAGGGAGAGGGTATAGGGAGAGGGGTGCAGTGGGGTGGGGGACTGTGCTCCCCTGTCCTGCGGGTGTTGGGCCTTAGTGGGTGGCTTGACGTCAGGAGGCAGAGGCAGGAGGATTTGTGAAGTAATGTAATTGAACATGTGCAGATAATTATGTCTCATTACATAAGCCCATTGCAAAAACGGCACTTGGAAATGCCACATGAAAGAGCCTATCGTTCTGCATTAATTTCTCCATGCGCTGAATTTATTCCCTTTCTGGCTTTTTAATACTTGGAGAGTAAATGAATCGCAGGCTGATCATGATAAGAGATGATACTTTTGTATAAATTAAAATACCCCCAAGGAAAGAGGCTGAGCAGATTATAGCTGCAGTTGGCTTCGAAAATCACAGTGGGCTGGGTAAGCCAAAATTTTGGGGGGGGGGATTGTTGCTGGGGATTACGAGGCAGGGCAGGGGCAATAGAGAAAAGAACAAGAAAGAGGTAGTAAAAACTCGGAAGCTGTATAGGACAAGGAGAGCTGGGCTGGTGTTTCTGGCTGTGGTAACGGGAGAACCAGTGTTACCAGCACTGGGAATTGGTGAGCTGAGAGTGTCAGGGGCTCAGTGGTTCCCCCTGCGCTTCCCAAATGGGGATCCAGCATGGTGGTATCTGATGGCTCCTCAGGCTGGTTCTCAGGGGGGGCAGGAGCTCAAATAGGCTCAAATTGTATGTTGTTCAAAGAGGAGCAGGGTAGCAAGTGGGCAAAGAGACAGCTCAGGTTCAGGGGTGATGGCTCATTTTCCCGTAAATGTGTAGTAGACATGGGGAGGAAGGCAGGGAGTCCAGAGCTAAGTGCATAGTTTAGGAAGTATTTTCTGGGTTGTCTCTCTATCCCCAAATGTTTTTCTTCCCCCTTATCCTGACCAGCATGCTCCTGCCTGTAGCTTTTATTGTCATTTAATGGTTTCCTATCCAGCTAGGTCTCTTGATGGACCCCAGATTGTCTACTCCTCAAGTGTGGCCATCCTCTAGGAAGTGTTGACTCTTGGCAATGTCCTGGGGTGCCTGCTTAGTGCAGGCAGGGTGGCTGTCTCGTACCATGCAGGGCTTCCCTGCCTCTCCCCTGAACCCGTTACTGCCAAGGAAGGGCAGCAGGATGTGGAGGAAACCTGCTAGTGACACAGAAAGCTGCCATCCCCACGTCATCTGAGCATCCCCGTGAGCTGCTGGAAGGAGATGAGCCGAAACCTAGTCAAGAGCCCTGTCACAACGATGTCTGCACGGGGCTGAGGTTAAGTCATCCCCAGAGCCTGTCAGGGCTGAGAAGTCAGCGGCAGGTTGCCCAGCTCCACCACTGCAAACCTTGGCAGGGGAGACAATGCTCGGGGTTTGCCTTACTTGATGGAGGATGAATTTTTAAATGCGTGTAAGTCATGACAGCTGAGAGCAGGAATGCACCCAAAGCCCAGTTTCCTCTGTGGTTCTGCTGCTTGACGGCTGACAGACCGCTCTGCGGGGCAAAAAGGGCTGGAGCCAGTTCTGCATCGTTAGCAGGATAATGGGTGATGTCCCAGCCATCATGATCCCTGTAACCCACAGTGATGACTGAGGCAGAGCAAGAACAGGCGCCTTCTACTCCACAGGTGGAGACAGTGTGAGGTATCACCTGTACTGGCAAGGGACAGGGATGCACTTGGTGATGCATGGCTGATAGAGGCTGGAGACATCTTCAGGATACCCAGCCTTGGGTAGCACTGAGAAGAAGGAGGGACCCTCCCACCTGAAAGGAAGGGGTGACTGGAGCCTTATCCAGCCCTTTTTGCAAGCTTTGAGGTTGAGGGATTTTGCACCATAAAGTGAGAGGTGTTAAGTGTCTGGTCCCTCTGCACAGAGGGGTGTCCTGCATTTGTACCCAGCTGGAGGTCCCAAGATAAAGGTTTCAAAGCATTTAGAAGTCCAGATTCTTGTGGGTTCCAGTGGAAGCTAGATCTTTAGTACCATAGTTCTCTGGAGGGTTCCAACCGAAAACATCACCCTTTTAGCCACTGCCTTGTGGCTGTAAATCCACCAAGCATTTTAGTTCCCCTATCTCCCAATGAATGAAATGAGCTATAGTAATCTTAAAGAAAAACCATTTCAGAAATTTCTTTTTGGACTTTATTTAATTTAATTTATAGATCATTTAAATCTAAATGAGAGGCAATTTTTAAAAGTCATCAGAGTACAAGGGTTTTGATTTAAAATGTCGTCGTGCAGATCTGTGCCTATTTACAGAGCAGTGTCTGTGACCATGATGGTGGTGGTCAGCAGCAGGGTGTGCTGTTGAGTTTTGCATCCACTGTTGTTGATGAGGATCTCTGGGCTCTGGTACCTGTAGGAGGTGAGACCTTCTCACATATGCTGAGACCCTTTTCTATTAAGAATTTGAGCCTTGAAATGAAAGTTATTTCTGTTTTCCTCAGCAAGCTACAGTTCACCATCATGATCAAGCTATGGTTCATGACCATATTCACAACCTGGGATATGTAAATTTGCCTGGCAGGGCTTCAGTGCCCAAGCTCCATCCATCAGGGATGCCTTGGTGTGTTCTGAAGACTGCTGCTGTGAACTTCGGAAAGTGATAGCCAGACAAAGCTGGAGTCTTTGGTGTTTAATAAGAGTTTCAGCGTGTATCATAAGGAGACCCTGACACAAGCTCTTAAAAGTGCAGAGGTCTGAAACCTCTTTGAGGTTATTGCCTCTTTGAGGCTACTGCCTATCTGTCAGACTTGCTCATGTCTGCTGTGTTTGGAAGCTGACCTGACACCCTGTGTTGTTGATGGTGGGACAAGGATTTGGTCACAGAAGGTGGGATGGCGAGACAGCCTCTGTGCACAGCAGGAGGTGCCTTTAAAAACTGGCAGAGTCATTTCCCAAGCCCATGCTGGAGGCCCAGGCAGAGAGCCATCCAGCCTTGCTGGAGGTGACCAAACTTCTGGGAAACCTTGTGGAAATGGGCAGCAAAAGCAGTTGCTTCAGCCATCCATCACTGAGGCTCCATCACTTGGACAGCCACCAGGGCCTTGCCTGTGATTTGGCACCATAAGCTGACATATGAAGAGGTGTCCCAGAGACCATTGCTCTGTTCCTGTCTCCTGAAGAAGTCACAGCTGCATGCACGGGCTGCTCAGAAAAGTCTGTGAGGAGCAGCAGCCTTCTCAGAAGACTCCCTCATTTTTGAAGGAGATCCCTAGGATTTACTTCAGTCAGATCCCAGTGGCATCTTCTTGCTCCAGAAGGAGGCAGGGCCCAGCTGGGATGCATTGAGGATGCATCCTGAATGTGTCTTGGTCCATGCAGCAACAGGGTGAGCTCCAGGAAAGGGGAGTGTAAATGGTGCCTGTATGCCCTCTGTTTTGGGAAGAGTCTTGGCTCCTCATGGAAGGCTTGTCCATACCAGAAGATAGCATTAAGATGATAAGGTCATGGCCAACCCTGGGGCCTTCCCAGGCTGAGGGAGCAGGAGAGTGTGGGATATGTGGAAGGTTTCCTAATCTAGGTCAGCCTTTCCCCAACATCCTCTTGGCTTCTAACTGAATGCAACCAAGATGGTAACTGACGGCATGAACTCCCACAACACATGAAGGCTGATTCCCAATCTGGAGAGCCATGGGGCTCCCCAGCACTGTGGGAGGCAGGGTGCTAAGCATTGAGGCACTGCAGTCCCTGCCTGCAAGACACTCTCCCTCTCATTCCTTCCAGCCATGGCTGGCACGCCAAAGCCTCACTAAAAATAGTTAAGCACAATAGGGACAGAGCCCTGCTCCATGCGGCCCCCTCCACTCTCCCCCCTCCTGCTCGCCGTAATGACCCTGCAAACACTAAATGGCATCTGAGTGCATTAAGCAGCAAACTCTCCGGTGACATAGCAATTACAGCTCTGAAATAGATTTGGTGCGTCATGGAAGATAAGGGTTTTGAAAGTTTCTGTTGTGATTATAGCTTGTAACTCCAACAAATAACAGGCTTGGTAATAAGAGGCTGCCAGCATAGCTATTGTGGTTCTCTCTCACTGATGGCACGTAAATTGCTATTAATGTCCTAAGTGTACTTGAATATGCCAGTCTCGGGGCGGTGGAGTTGGCTCTGTGTCTCTCTTTACGTGGCCTGTCATTGTCAGGCTGATAATCTACAGTAATTGCTGCCTCTTGCAGTGGTCCAAGATGTGTAAGGGTGGATATTGCATCTCACGAGTGCAGGGATGGTGGGTCAGGGCCTGGGTACACATGGGCTGTGGGCACAGTGAGCCAGTGGTCTGCGCAGGCAGGGGATGCCTGGGGCTGTTAATGTTTGTGCATAGTCTGGTTTCATGCTTGTGCCCACAGTGCAGTGGGATTTGCTAACCTGCTAGCAGGCTTAGGTCACGATATCCTGTCTTACTTGCTGTTGCTGGAACTCCATGCATGCATGGAAGAACACGCAAGCCCATTGTGTGTGTGCATGCCTCTGTCTTTTCTGCTTTGTGCATGCCCTGCTGTGCGGTGTTTTCATTCCTCAAAACATGGGTTCCCATGGTCCACCTGTGGCCAGCTCTTTCCTCCCATTTCAGCTGCCTTTCTGGCAGGCAGGAGCTGGTCAGCAGTGTGGATAGCCCACCAGCAAGTCCTAGACAGTTGCTCTGTGCCTTAGGGCCATGAAGCTTTTCCTACCCTTACCCCACTTCAGGGTTTGCAAGACCCTAGTGTGGCTGGTGGTGGATGACCTGTGCCAGGAGGCAGTGGGACAGGCAGCCAGAGAGGACAAAGCAGCCACAGCACATTTGAACTGTGACAGCAACTGCTGCTGACTTGAGCTTGGGCAGTGGTTGGAAAGGATTCATTAACTGAGCACTGAATCAATGTCAGAGTGAGCAGAGGAGGTTGGGTGCGACATCTGCTCCTCTCTAAAGTGGATGGCAACTGTGGAGGAGCAGCTTCTGTGCACTGCCTGAAGCAGTGGAGCCCTCCAGTAGCTCTGCACTTGAGAAATGGGAGAATTTGTCTCTGCATCTGTTTTTAGGAGAGGAAACAAGTTGTCTGCCACACTTCGCTCTAAAAACCCTGGGATGGGATATGGTGGTAGCACCTCCGTGGCACTGTGGCTTAGGATGCCTCAAGGAGTGGTTACAGGGAGCATGGAAGGTCAGCCCCGGGTGGCAGATATATGTTTGTGGTTTTCTTACAAAGTGAGGAGAGTAATGCTTTTGCATTAGAAGCAGAGATGTGGCCCAGATCCCAGAATACAACTTTCACAGTGGCAAGAGAGGTGTTTGAACAATGTGTCTTTCCTGCAACAAGGCTTGGGAGCTGATGGCTTCGCTTGCACAAGGGTCATGCAGCAGGAGGGGTGCCTAGAAAGGCAGCGAAGGGGAACATGGAGCTGTGCTGGAGAACATAGCACAGCTCAGCAGTCTCTTGGGACCTGTTGTTCTTTGTGTTCATAGCACCTGAGTCCAGATAATATCTCAGGACGGTGTTTCTGGAGTGTGGTGTTTGCTGTTTTCCTCCTTGCATATGGGAAAGTGTCATATTTGGGGGTAAAAAAACATCATACAACCAGAACTCAGAGTTTCTGCAGAAAGATGTGTTTTTTAGGGGCCAGAATTTTCATGAGCACTTGCCATTTAGCAAAACCTCTGTTTTCAACAGAATTGTTTCTTCCCCATCCCACTTATGGAGCCATGTTGTCCGCAGTGGGATGGGAAACCCAGAGGGGACAGCTTTGCCTCCTACATCAGTGCCTGCTAGGGGAGAAGCAGGAGAGTCTGAGTTGGATAGGTGGCTTGGGCAGGGTTGGGTGTGCTATTGGGTGACTGACATCTCCATGTCTCCCTTCTGCAGGCTAATGGAGGTTGGCAAGACGCTACTACCCCATCGTCGGTGACCTCCCCCACAGAAGGCCCTGGCAGCGTTCACTCTGATACCTCCAACTGATCTCCCAGCAAATTGCATCCCTGGCTGAGCCAGTCCCGGCGGGGCAGGAGGGGAGGGGGCCTCTCCTAACACCGCAGCAGTCAGACTGGAGGTGAACCCAATCAGCACACACAAGAAGACTCCTTCTCTTCTCTCCTCTTCGTCGGGATGCTTTTTTCAGCCAATCTGGACACTTCTTTATACTCTCTTCCCTTTCTTTTCTGGGTAGAAGCCGCTCCCTCCCTGCCACCGCCACAACACCACTCCCTTCCCCTTACCCTTTCCCACCGAAGGATATGTCAACAGGTAGAAGGATTTTAAGGAGGAAAAGCAAAAAACAACTGCCACCACACAAAACAACCCCAAAGCAGTGTACAGCCTCATGCTGGGCATCTTTCTGAGGAGCCACAAATGTACCTCTGTCATTTCTCACTCCTTTACTAGCAGGCAGCCTCCCTTACTCCTCCTGTCTCATGCTACCTCTCCGTAGGGAAACGCCACCGCAGCCCTGCTGCCACCTCATCTGCGCCGGCCCTGGCCACAGCCAGCACCTCGCCTCCCTGCGCCCAGCCCTGCTTCGGTGAGCTGACCGCTGTGCACTGCTGGTGATGGGTGGGTGGACACAGCCCCTGTGCGTGTAGAAGAAGTCAGCATGCTTCCCTTTGCTTCCAAAAGGTACCAGCGCATTCCCAGCCCTGGGTAAACTGACAGCACTTCCTGGTCCCTGCCCTGCCCTGCCACAAATCTCACTGGCTGCTGTGGGCTGAATGAGCCATGAAACCCTCCATCCTCTCTGCCTGCTGTTGGAGGGGAGGAGAGGAGAGAAGGAAATGAGGCAGAGGCAGGTGAGAAATGACCGTCACTAATTGCGAAGGCACTGAGCACCTCCACGGTGGTGTACACTAATCAGTTTTCTCACAGCACCTAGGGAGGCTGGTGGTGGATGTGTTCCTGGCAGTGAAAGCGTCACGGATTGTTTGCATGTGTTTCTGGGACCGTGCCACACTGCAAAAGAGGAGGAGGTGGGTTCCCCAGTGCAGGCAAGACCCTCAGAGGATGGTGGCACCTGCTGTATTCCCAAAGCCCTGCCAGGCAAGCAGCAAGGGTTGGGCAGCAGGATTCAAGGGGCTTGATGTGGTGGGGTGAGCACAGTGGGTGCTTTCAGTAATGGTTAAAGCAACAGCTCTGTAGGACAAGGGGTGCCCCTCCTGGGGGTATCTTTCTGATAAAGCTCCTGGTTTTATCCCAGTTATTCTGGACAGTGGCATTCGATACCATAGGAAAACTCATGGGATTTTCTGTCCAGATTTTTCTGGTCTGCTCTTTGAAAAGCTGGTGATGGCTGAAACACTCCTTCAGGCAGCTGATGCTGGGAGAACATGGCTTTCATTGAAGAACAGGGTGAGGAGGCACCAGTCTGCCCCTGGCAATGGGCTGAGCTTCATGCCATAGTCGTACTTTTGGCCACTGGTTCTTCCAGTGGATGCGAGCAGGTTCAGCTGTCTTGTGGCAAGATCCTGGGTGTCATAGGGGTCACTGTGGGTGCAGCATAGATAGCACCTTGTAATGGATCTGAATACCTCTTGGCTACATCTCATGCACTTGCGCATCCATGCCCACCCTGCCAGTGCTGGTGCCAGCCATCTCAAGATGGGAACTGCCAGTGCAGAGCAGCCTTAAGCAGGAACCACATAAAATTACAGCTCTGCCAAAAAAATTTCTACCCTTCTGGTGGAAAAAACGATGGTTGGCCTGCAGGCCACAGCGGTGGTGTGCCCACAGCTCTGACATGCTGTCGCCTTGCAGCTTGGGGCCAGCAGTGTGACTCGCCTGAAGTGGAGATGAAGCCTGCCTTTCCATGGGGAACAAGCCCAGAAGGCTTCAAAACATCTGCTCTGAAATTTATGACCTTTCCCCAGATATGAGAGGTGCCAATTCATTAGATTTTCTCCTTCTGAGCAGGTGGGGTCAGAGCAGGATGCAAAAGGTAGATGAGAAACAGCACAAGCTGCCTTTTGCTTTTTTTTTTATATCTCCAGTTGAAACATTCTGTTCCTTTCAGACCTATGTCTGGGGTTGGGGGCTGTGTTGCAGAGCATAATGCAACAGGTGAGGTCTGGGGCTGCTTCCCAGCTGGGAATATCTTAAGAGCAATGAGAAGCTGGTTTCTCCAAGAGAATGGTTAGGAGGTGTTGCACATCTTCCCAAGCTGTGCACCTTCCTGCTCTCCTCCTCCCGTGGCTTCCCCCAGTGCAGCCTTTTCACCATTTCTGGGTTATTTTATATGAAACCATTCTGGCAAAGCATTTCAGGGATACAGGACTGGGTCAGGTCTGTTCTGGGGAGTGGCAGCAGTGCTGTGCCTGTGGGAATGCCGTGGTACCTCTTGGAAATAAACCGGGAACAATCCAGAACCACCCGCTGACTGGAGCCGGCCCACGCCAGGGCTGCCTTCCCCTGCCCTGCAACTGCTGCCCCTCCTGCCTGCACTCCCTGCCCACAGCACCCCTGTTGCGGGCAGGGTGCTTGCTCCTCCATGGTACTTTGTGGATCACCTCCTGGGTTCCCTAGTTGGTCCCTCTGGTTTGTGTTGGCGTAGCTGCTTGCTTGCCTTTTCCTTTGCTTTCTTTATTTTTGGGTTTTGTTTCTCCTCCCCTTTCACCCCTTCCCCCAGCCCCAAGTGTTGTGGGGTTTTTTCTCTTTCTTTTTTAATTTTTTTTTCTGCCCAGAAAAACCTGACTTCGATACCAAAAAAACAAAACAAAAAAAAAAAAACAAAAACAAACAAAAAACTATCAAAAAACCTGCAGAAACAAAAAAAAAAAAAAAAAGAAAAAAAAAGCCACAAAAAAAACTCGACGATTCTTTCAGCTTTATTAACATTTTCCATTGTTTCTTGCGATTTGTGTCTCGTTCTTTGTAGTATTGATGATAACGAACATTTGATAATGAATGTTCTTGTATATTCAGATAAAGGAGAAAAAAAACAAACCAAAAACGCAGTCGGAATTTAATAGTGTTTATAATAAAGAATAAAAAATGACCCTCTTAGCACGCAAAATTGAACAGGGGGAAGGTCCCATCCCTGTTCTTTCTGTGGCAACAAGCGCTTCATTCCTGTATAGTTTATAACATCGAACTACCTACATTCATCTTTTTTTTGTTTGTTTGTTTTTCCCATTATTTTTTTCCATTTTCTCGCATTTGTGAATTAGTTCAAGAATGCTAGAAAAATGTAGAGTTGTGCACACTCATTTCTTCTTACACAATGTTTAAAAAGTGACAGTAATTCATTTTGTAAAACTTTAAAAAGAAAAAAATGGTTGGAATAGTGAGCATTAATAGGTACAGTCTAACACTTTATGTTTCTTAACGTTGAGACCCAGAAATTACCTTTTTTTTGGCATTATTTGAGGGGGGTGTTGGGGCTTTGATGATGATGCTGAGTTTATTTTGACCTGTCTGAGACATCGGCCTTGCTGCTTCCCCTGCGCTTTTGAGCTGTGCCCCAAGTGATGTGAAAAGTGATGGTGGTGTTTGGGGGGGGAATTGTCTCTCCTCCAGGAGGCCCCCACTCCTTTTGATACCCAACCCAGAAGATCCTTAGGCGGCTGCTTTGGGGCTGAGTTGGGGAGTTACGTCTCCAGAGAAGCATGTAGTCCCGTGGGGTTTTGGCGAGTAGATGCTGTGGGGTAATGGGGAGTCAGGTGCTGAGCTGCTTGGAAGTGATGAAAGGGCATGAATCCTCCCCCAAATATGTAGACAGTGGGCTTCAATGCTTTCATGCTCTGCCCTGAATCCCAGTGGCACCCAAGGGTTTGCTGCAAGAGCCTGGGATTGGAGGCACCCATGAGCCCAACCACAGCTCTTGGCTGAAAAATTAATTTGGAGCAAGGAAGGTACCAACCTCGTTTCAGTCATGGACCTTGTTGAGGATGGGGTCTCACAGCCTAGCCCCAAGGCCCAGCGGCACAGGGTTGCTGGGCAAAATAAGGGACAAGGGACAGGACATGGCAGCCTCCCAGCCATGGTGGGACACAGCCAAAATGCCCGCCAAATATAGCCTGAAATCTCAGTGGCTTCAGAGTGGGGTTCAAGGAGAAGTGCTAAGGAAGATGCTAGTGGGCAGCACTTCAGTTTTCTCTTAAAAACAGGTTCCCTGTGCCCCTCTCCCCCCAAAAAAACAGCTTTTCACATCACTGAACGGTTTAGGGTTTGGGGTATAATTTTTAATCCCAAGGTTTCCTGGAGTCCTTTTGTTTTCATACACCTTTATTATTATTATTAAGACTATGTAAATCAGACGTTGCCGGGGGGGTTGGTTCTGTCGGTTTGCTTTTTTTGTTCTTGCAAAGCCCTTTCTATCCCTTGTAAAGATGATCCAATTGTTCTGAGTTGCTTTTTCTTTTCTATTTTTTCCCCCATTTTTTTTTCTCTACCTAATGAATTCCAAATATTTAAAAAAAGAAAAAAAAAAAAAAAAAAGAAAAACCCTAAAAAAAACACCTCTGTTCCGACCTGGTTTTGAAACTTTAAGCTTTTCTGCTTCTGTAAAGAAAAAAAAAGGCCTCTGTCTTTCTGATCCCAATTGAGACTTTTATGTTCTATGACGATACTAACAAGGTGTAGGTTTTACAGTTTCCTGATTTGTACTGGTAATGCATATTCCAAATAAATAGTTTCTTTTGTTGCAAAAAAAAAAAAAAAAAAAAAAAAAGAAACCAAACCTGGCATTTTTTTGGGGAGGAAAAGTTGGAACGCGAGGTTCCCTGGGGCTTTTCCCCATGGGGGTGCAGGGGGGGCAGGAAGGGTTTGGGATGCAGCAGGAGCAAAGGCAATAGCCTGATGCTTGGTCCTGCTTCTGGTGGTGTGAACCTGGGAGCTGGAGGGATGCGATTCAGGGGTGATGCCTGATGTGCAGCATTCCTGCTGCTCCCGGCGCCTCCTCCCATGTCTCAGTTTCCTGGGCCAGGGGAAGCGAGCGCTGCTGGACACGCACATTTGTCCGTGCAAAACACATTTTCAGTCTTTCATTTTCATTGCTCATTCGCTGCTTTTTTGGACTTCTTAGTGCACTTCTTTCCAAAAAAGCTGCAATGGGAATTTTCTATCACACCCAGGCACGGGGCAGGGCTGGAGAGCAGGGGAAGGGTTGGTGGTTTCTTCTGTTTCCCTGGGGGTTTTAGTTTAAAAAAAAAAAAAAAAAAAGAATTTGAAAACATTTCTGAGCAAAACCCCATTCTACATATAAAAATAATTTGCAATTCAAAAGAGCCTGTGCATGGAACAAAAACCAGAACAGCTCTGCTGTGTTCCTGGTGGTATTAGGTGAAAAAGTGGGTGGCTGTGATTCCCCAGCTCCAACCTGGAGAAAGACAGAACCTGCCACAAATGCCTCCAACACCCCACAGGGAGCAAAGCAGAGGGAAAGAACCCCTGGGGAGGCAGCACAGGGATGCTGGATTTCTTGTCAATGATTATTCAATCTCCAGACTGACCTTTCTCTTCTAAATAACATGGCAATATCAACGTGGGCCAGCCTCCAGCCCCGGCTGCAAATTAACTGTATCGCTCTCCAGCAGGAGACCCAAGGAGATCCCCGGCCGCTGCGCTGCCAGACCGCCCCAGGAATTATCTCTCTCCACCAGTGCTCTCCTAATACCAGTTTAAATATCATCTTGCTCCCAGCTGTTTAATTCTAATAAATGCTCATCCCAGCTCCAAACAGAGAAATGCTAAGAAGTCACACCGGGCCCAATGAGAACATTGCCCCAAAAAGGCAGATGGCGGGAGGTGCTTCTGGGAGGAGGGGATACGATGCTGTTTGGCCTGGTGGCTCCTGGCACACATCCTTTTGGTGCCAGGGTGGGTTTGAGCATGTTGCACCTCTCCCAGCTCGAGTCTTTCCCCTTCCCTGCAAAAGCAGATAATTTTAAGATGGGAAAAGGGCACATGGGACCTCCTGGAGCGTTTAGGGGCAGCTGGAGGGGCCTGACTGGGTGCAGCATCCTTCCTCCCTCCATCCCCCCCTTGCGGGTTGCTTGTGGCTGAAAGAAACTAAACCCACAGGAGCCGGACTTGATTGTTTGTGTTTTTGTTGCTATCATCTTGTTAACTCTCTCTGCATCCACACCTTTTCCTTCTCCCCCTCCCATTCCCTTATCAGTAGGATTTTTGTTTTTCTTAATTCCCCCACATTTGGGCAATAAAGTTTGGTGAGAGCAAACCCTGAGGGCAGGCTCCTGCACTTTTTCTATTTCACATTATAATATTTATAATGTGAAATATTATATAAATATAATATTTATGTTATAATGTTTTAGACAAAAAGGGTGGGGAAAGGCATGGCATGGACATGGCATGGGCCGAGCCCTCAGATTTCCACCATAGAAATTTCAAAATGCTTTTGGTGAGCAGAAACCAGCAGCTTGGTGACAGTGCCTGGGACATTCTGAGTGGGCGCAAGCTCCCTTGAACATGTCCTGATCCACACAATGCCTCTTGCAGCTTTTTCTCCTCATAGGCAGCTGCCAGCATGCCCTGGCTCCTGCCTGCCTGCTCCCAGCCAGCCCTATGCTGGGGGCTCCAGCTGAGAGACAACACCAGCCACTGCCATCACTGGGGCAAACCATCAGTGTATGGGGGCTGGCCAATCACAGCCCAGTTGTTAATAATCCTTCCAAACTGACGGAGTGGTTGGGAGGCATTAAAGTTACTGCTTGCAGTAAAGCCCCTATCCATTCGCTGGAGAGTTTAATATACAGCAGGAAGTATCACCTATAAAAGGCAAGGGTTATGTTTTCTTCCAGTTCACCAGGAGTCTATAACTTACAACCTCCATAAATGTGAGTGGGTCTCACAAGTCAGCCCATCAGTCTTTGAAGTAATTCTGCTTTGTAGTAAAATGTTTTATTGTGCCTTAGATGCAGCAGCCCCCTGCCTCCGGGCGGGCAGAGGGATGGTGGCCATCCCTGGGTCCCTCTTCTGCCAGCACCATGGGAATGGTGTGGAGGGGTGATGCTGCCCATTCTTTGCGCATGGTGGGTGCAGCAGCCTAGAAACTAATTAAAATAATTAAGATTAAAAAGTAGAATAAAATAAAACAGAATAACCCTGCCTACAGGCATGAGCTATTGGGAATGTGTGCTACACCTTTTAATTATTGCTAATGAGCTAGAGTTTTAATAGCTTTATAGGGGAATTGTGGTGGCCTTCTCTGTGCTGGCTGTTCAAGGTGCCCTGCCCTGGGAGCTGCACAGGAAGGGGAAACCCAGGGACAGTGGCGCAGGGGTGCTTGGTGCTGGCAGAGGAGGAGGGTGGTGAGGAAGAAGCCCGGAGAAAGGTCAGATGGATGGGTACTGGCTCGGCACAGCCACAGGTGTTAATGGCACAGAGGCAGGGCTCCACCGAGCCCTGGTGGAAGAAATGTACATGTGAAATCACCTCCTTGCCAGGTCCTGCGGCCACCAAAAGGCTTCGTTCACCCCCAGAATCAACCCAGTCTGCCTGCAGCTGTCGCTGGCCCCAGGGCAGAGCAGCTGAGTGGGGCTGGGAGAGTCGAGCTAATTAAAAATGCAAATGAACGATGGGGCCGCGGCTGCTGTCACTTTCCGAAGGTGCAAATTACAAGGAGGGTTTATTGGCAGGTTCTCATTCAGAGCCTCATCCCAGTCTCCCACAGCCACCAGCCTCGAAGGACGGGCAGCCCCTGCCTCACCACTGCAACCACCCGACAGCTGAAACAGGTTCTGTCTTTCCTCCCCTTGAAGCAACCTCCAGAGCAGGGAAAAGGGGGTAGAAGGAAGGATGAGGGGAAATAAAGTTGATTAAAAAAAAAAAAAAGAAGGAAAAAAAAAAGTTTACCTGGTTTTTGGTGGGGTTTTTGTTTCTGTTTTCCTTTGTTTCATTCCCACCTCTTTGTATGAAAATGATTCTTCAAAATGAAAAAAAAAAGGAACATCATAGGCAAATACTTGCTAAAACAAATTACACAGGGACTAAAGCAGCCCTGTCCCCTGCCGGCGGCACTAGGCATTCTTGAGCCCACACCACAAATACCTCATTTCTGCTCCATCCATCACTACATGGCTTCGTGGCGTTGCCCTAAATATTCAATATATTCTTGGAAACACTGCCCTAGCTCAACCTGTAAAATCCAAGCTGCAGTGCACCCAGCACGGAGAAGAACCTAAAGATGGAGGTGACCCACACAGCTCTGTCCAGAGCAAGACCCTCAGCAAAGCTCGTCTCCCCAACCCTTCCAGACACATAGGGGTTTTGCCCAATTCTCCTGGGTTTGGGGGTGATTTGGAAGCGGCCATGGCAGGGACCGCTGCAGTGATTGCCAAGGGCCACGCCAGCGATTCTCCCACTCGCTGACTCAGCTCCAGCGCAGCTCCCTCATCCTGCAGCTAATTAGACTCCAGCCTCTCATCTTGTTAATAAGCTTCCAGTTCATTTGCATACAAAAAAAAAAAAGAGAGGAAAAGCAAGCAGCTCATTTTGCCTTCAACATGTGGCTAATGCTTATTAAAATATTTAACCTTTTATTATGGCACAGAAGCATCTGTTCAGGCAGAGCGTGGTGCAGACAGATGCAGGCATTGTGCTGCTTCTCCTGCCTGCTAGCCTCTACCAGGAAGCGCCCAGCAGCAAGACTCTAGTACTGTAAAGGGACACCCTATGGAGGGTCCCCACCAGTGTCTGCCAGTGCAGAGCTATTGCAAGCCCCTGGGGCAATTGGGAGATGCCACAAAACACAGGGAACTTCAGCTCCTGAATGCTGTGTCCATGGTCTGCAGCATTTCCTGAGCCTGACTGCGTCATTAGGTGGTTAATGCTATTGAGCTGCCTCAAAACTCATCCTTTGAGCTATTGCCTTTCAGAGCGAAATAAAAAGGGCCCAACTACCAAGACCCTGCTCCTATCAAGACCTCTGTCCTATCAAGACCCCTCCTCTTCTGTTGAGACCCCTCTCATAGTGAGAACCCCCCTCCAGGAGCTGTATTTCAGCAACAGCCACCCCAGGCACTGGGCACGCACACCCAGGTGGCCCCTGAAAGGTATCACCACCCCTGGGACCAAGCCCAGCTTTGCAGGCATGAGCAGGAGTGAAGGAGAAGCTGCTGTCCCAGCTGCAGCCATGCAAGTTATTTGATGGTGATTAATTAACCCGGGACTAAGAGGTTTGTGAGGGAAGTGGGGAGCACTGCCTGGAGCCCAGCCACCATGGGGCTGTGCTGGGACAAGGGCTCCCAGCCACCACTGCTGCCAGCTGCCCAGTGCCAAGCAGGGGTCTCCAATAAATCGCCTGTGCTTCCAGCATGGCTGAACTTGTGGAAAAGTCTGCTGTGCAAAAGGGCTGGCGGCTACACAGCTGTGACCTCTGTATGAAATAGAAGACATAAATATAATCATCTATATAATGTATTTATGTGCATACATGTGTAGGCAGAAGTGACTTGGTAGTGTGCTACCTCCCAGGACCTATAAACCCCCTGAGATTTGTAATCCTGGTGAGCACAAGCAATGCATTTAATGCTTGGAAAAACAGGAGGGAACTGCAGTGAAATAGTACACACACCCCAACACCTCCCAAGGTGAACTTGGGCCACTTAAAGGCAGAGACCCAAAACCCAGCTGGGCAGTCATTTTTCCTTGTTTACAGGTGGCTTCTCACCATGGCATGAGGGTGCCCTCGGGTACCTTCACTCCTGGGGCAAGAGG